ATTTGCTGATTCAAGCATTTAACTTTTTAGGTATTCATCTGTCTATAGAGTGATTTCATGTATTTAAATGTGGTATACAGTTCTTTTTTTTGTCATGGACAATTTGCAGCCTGTGGTTAATTTAATAAATTATTTAAAAAGAATGAAGTGAGAACCAAACGTGGAGCACAGTCAGATTGAAAAGGCGGAGTTGTCGAACTGACCGAACAACATCGAAGGAAGAAGGAAGAAGGCAGAGGGAGCAAGAGTAACACTCTTTTGAGCCACGCCATCACCACCAACACCCCCACCAGCATCACCAGTATCACCACCATCATCACCACCACCACCACCAGTATCAGCAACGCTACCAATCAGCACTATCATTATCTTCAACAAATCATTTACACATAATAGTAGGCAATCCGTTGGTAGGGTTTCGGTGTTGGTGGTTTGGCCGAATACCTGATAATATACATACTACCAGTTATCGGCAATGGAACTATCGAGGTATTCTAGCAGCTTACGGGAGGGACAATTCAAAGAAATGACATTGCTTGCTACATCGATACATTCAATATTCCTAGCACTAAGTTTGTTCTGTAATCCATCAACATATGGAACTACCGCTTGGCATCATCATAGCAATCATAGTTGTCATGGTTGTGCAGAAGCGCGGGATGAATTGGCAAAAATACGATTGGAATTAATTAAACGTGAAATCCTGGAAAAACTTGGTTTGGATGCACCACCGCAAGTACGACCGCAAGATGGTTTTCCAACAATTCCACAAGTTGCGAAATATTTGAAGTATCAATTACGACATGATTCCGCAACAGCATCAATGCATCTTCATCATACATCATCATTTCTGGCTGATGAATTAATGATACCGGAACGTAAAGCAGAACGAACGATTGTACTGGCTGAACGAACGCCAACACGTTTCAACATAAATTCCAATCAAGTCCTTGCACATTTCAAATTTTCCGATGAGTTAATGTCAAAATTACTACTATCCACTGTACTAAATGTATATCTCCGGAAACCAACTAAACTTCATTCCGATTCACGCATTGCAGCAGTTCAAGTACTGGTCAAGGAGGTCGTCAAGAATGGCTCGGTATCATACTTTTCATTCTTATCATTCTCCTATTGTCTAATCTCAGATGTCTCATTCCTTTTTATCATTCTTTGAAAAACGTGAAATATCCGCTTATGAACAATGCTTTATATCATCTTAAATTTTTTTTTTGTCAATAGCACATTCTTCTACTTACCTTCTATCTTTTTTTTTATTGATCATGTCACCATCGGGTGTGTTACCTGTATTCGTACTTATTATTTGCACCTATTAACAAATGATAAATGTTAGTGAAATCTTCTGATTTGCAGATACCCTTTATTATGGATCCGGAAAGTTTCAGGGTAATTGATGTAACTTGCTCTCTCTTCCTGCAAATCTCTCTTTCTAATTTCATTCACGGGTCACCCATTTCATTTCTCTAATTTATGATAAATCTTTCTTTGTTCATAATTTCACATATTTTATCTTCTGTCAACTACCATCCCATTCATCAGGAATTTTGCTTCACTCAACAAATACGGCTAATTCTCGAAGTTTCATAGAGAACATTTGTAAATGATAGAAATATGAAAAGTCCAATTTTAATTTTTTTTGGCACGATATATATTTCAATATATTGCCCTGAAATTGACATTCAGACATTCACAAATCAAGTTACATCCAGAAATGCTACAATTATTTCCGTTTCTTTTTTTGTTTGGATATGTAGAGAAATTATAGCGATAATATATTTCAGAGGATTTATACTCCCGGAAAAAGGGATAACTCGTTTCGATTTATGAAAATTTTGAGTTTTTATTCCTATACCAGCACATATAGTTTGTTGGTTTCCAATTTTCACGTGCCAAAATACAACCAACATTTTCTGAATTAATGTGAAATTAAGAAAAACAAAAAAAACTCAGCAATTGGGAAATATCAACTTCAAGAAGAAAAGACAAAATATAATTATATTCAAAATATAATTATTTCTCAGGAAATTAAAACTTCATTGTGTAATGATGAAATACCGTATCTTGTTGTTTATTGTTTATTCACATTTTTGCGGGAGCTCCGAAATAGTTCTCCGGTAGAACAAGTAATAATAATTTGAGTCCTGACGTGTATTTGCTCTTCGTGAAACATTTTCTGATTTCGGGAGCAAGCAAGTTTGTAAAACGGGTTTTGTTCGTCATGACCGTTGCAACGTTGTCGTTGTCATCATTATCATCTAGACTTATATTGATAGTTAATTATACATTTATATATATATATACATATATATATATATATATATATATATATATATATATATATATATAT